ACTGACTGCTGTTAAACTTTGTAGAGTATGGTATTCATCTTGTAAACTATGCTAACTTCATCCAGTGTTTCATTTCCACATTAATGTTAGCTGCTAAGGTGTTACTGAGTGTTGCTACGGTGATCAGTGTGGTTGCTAGGGTAAAGGAAGCAGTTGCTAGGGCAATTCCGAGTGGTTGCTAAGCTGTTGCTTTAAGGCTTTTATAAGCAGTTGCTAGGGTGTTGTAGGCCTTGCTAGCAACAGCTAACTGATGCGAGTCTATTCAGGGAGGTTGCTAAGGTGTTTGGGATGGTAGCTACAGGGAGAAGCAACAGAATAATAAACCTATATGCAGGATTATAATACGTGGGTTTGAACGCTACACAACTAGCACACTTCTGAGGATTCAGCTTTTGAGATTTTTACAACACAATAAGTCTCCGGCAGCTCACTTCTTGCTGAGGTGACGCGCCACATCCGACTTCCTGAAGCCGTCCAAGTTGAAGAGGCGTTTGGCCAAGCGTTTGGCGGCTGCCACGTCGGCGCGGTGACTGCCGTTGGTGAGGGTGTCGCTGCTGCCCAGACCCAGCCTCTCGCTGAGGTCCTGGTCCAGCTCGGAATCGGTCGCCAGACGGGCCTTGTCCCTGCTGAGAGGGGCAGAAAGAGTGAGTGATTAAAGACACAAATAGATGGGTAGAAAAGGATGTAGAAAGGAAGGGAAAGATAGGAAATGAGAAATATTTTGGAGTACAGTTGAAAAAAGTCTGGTAAATAATTGAAAAGGAAAGAGAGAAATGGATAAAAGGAGGAACAAAGAATAATGGTCATATAATAGTAAAACTAATAACTCCAGCACATCAATAATTTAATATTAATATCTGATTCAGCACCGATCTTAAATCAGAGTTTCCAGCTGTACGTGATGTGACAAGAATACTAAAACACTAAAAAGGGGGAGATGAAAACAGTGAAGGTAGAATAAAAGAAAGATAAATATCTGTTAAATTAAATAATTTAAATACATTATGGAGATATAGAAAGTATAAGAGAGCAGAAATATATGATGTAGTAGTAAACAAAGCTCTTATTTTACATTAATATCAAGTATAACAGAACACATGCAAATCCTTTTACATTCAGACACAACATTTGGCATAATTACACTTTAATAACGGAATTCAAAATCTCTTTTTTCCAGCTTCCTCGCTTCCTTATTATCACGTCCTAATTAAGCCCCTTCAAAGCAATAAGCCAGTTGAAAAGTGCAAAACTTATTACATCTGAATTATCCTGTGATAATAATTTAAGCATGTTATGTCACGCTGAGCTAAAAGAGAACTGCTTTTCTGGCTTTGCTGGAATGTGGATGACAGAAATGAGAGGTTGCCGAGTTCAGTTACTTAGGATTCGACATGATGCTGACATTTGTCGCTGCCGTCGAGAGCTGTGTGACAATTCTGGTCACGCCAGCTGGCCCGGAGAAAACAATGACGGCCCCGACAGCCTAGAGTTGTATAAAAAAAATAATAAAAAAAAGCCCAGAAACACTTCCTGAACAAGCAGAGCTCTCATTTGGATTTCTCTGCATGACGAACAAGCCAACAAAACCCACAGTCCCAGAGCTTTGCTTCCCACACTGACACATCTTTATACTGTCAATGAGTCAGGCAAAATCACACCAGAGCAAACAGTAATTAATAACACAAGCCGACCGGGTAGGAAAGCTACAGTGGTTTCAGTACAGTAAGTACAAAGTACACTACGCATACACAGAAGAGACCACTGTGAGTAAGCCTAATGCTAACAGCAGCATGCTGTCAGGTGATCACCAACGTTATTAGGATTCATTAAAGTTATGAATAATTACGGACATGGCCATGTGCCGTCACAGGAGGCTGTTTTGTTTCTGTTTTGTTTTTGATCAGCCGGTAGAGTCTCTGGATCCATATCTGATCAGCGGACTGTTTGACAGTGTTTGATCCTGAAGTTTGGAGCGTTGATGCTGGACGGACTCACTGAGCATGAGCTGTCAACTCCTTACAATGTAGCCCCGCCTAAAGCATCCCCTGCTTTATGGTCTGTTTTACTCTAAACTGGGACCTAATCAGTTACTAAATGAACATCATGCTGTATGGAAGAAGACTGAGACCAGAAACTCATCAGGAAACTGTTTACTGAGCTCATAAATCAACTGAGACGTTGGATCATTTCTCCATAAGATGGTATCGGTGTGTTATTGCAGCCAATGGAGCTGCCCCCTGCTGGCCAGTACAGAGAATGCACTTCTGCATTGTCTGTGTGTAACAAACCATTAGACAGATTACATGAATGTCTGTACCAAATTCCATTGCAGTGTATCCAGCTGGTCTCATGGAGGTGCTAGAGGTAAAGCCAAGGGTTTACCAATCCAATAGGCTCTGAAGAGAGTTAATGTCTGTTAAAGTTAGAGCCATGCTGCTAGCAATGCTACAACCTATAGTACTGCAGCTTTAACACAGAGGCCTTTGGGTTCAAGAGTATTACAGCGGTCACACAGTTTTCTCAGCTGAGATCTGCTCTGCATCAGTACTGTGACTGAAGTGAACCAGCCCCAAAACACAGTCACAACTCCTGACAGCTAAACACACAGAGTGAATTTTCCTTCTGGCCAAACGTGATATTCAAACCCTCTGATATACACACATTGCAGACAGGTGAGACAGGTTCCTGGGTGGGGACGTACCTGTGGTAGGACCGCCTAATGGACAAATACCTCTCCTCTCCGACTGCAGATGAACCATGACAGCAGAAGACAGACTGCGTCCTCATTGCCGCCCCCTGACCGACACCTCGCCTCACCAGACTGCCCCCTCCTCTCCTCCTGGCCTCGTAACCTGAACGCATCACCGCCCGGTCCAGAGAGGGCGCTAGCGCTGAGGAACACCTGTAGTCGTTCCCGAGAGGCCCGCAGACTTTGGCATTCCTCTGCTCTGGTTTTGAGTCTGACTGAGACTTCATGGGTCCCCCTTTTCTGTCCTCCACTTTCTCTCTCCCTCTGTGTTTGCTGTCATTTGATCTTCACAGCAAGATTCCTTCCCCCCAAAGTAAAAGAGCTGTTTGTCCTGCAATGCCTTCTCCTCCTCTATCTTTTTCCCTCTGAGTCTGTTTGCTGTTGTTTCTGTTCCCTCTTTTTACTCCTCCCTCTCTCTCCCTCCCTGTTCCACTGTGTAAACTCTCACCGTCCCCCTGCTGACCTTGAATTCGAAGCATGGCATGAAACTTGGCTTGTCTATTGCCTAAAAATCCTCCTCCCTTCCCTTTCTCCCCTGCATTCATCCCCCCCTCCTTTGCTCTCTCTGCAGCTCCAATTACACACACTCAGTATATCCATCCTTTGGGTGTTGTACAGAGTCTAGTCTACCTTGTTTCTGGTGTGAGCTTTTAGCACACCTACAGAGAAAACAAAGATATGAGGTGTCAGCTTAAAACACACAGCGATATCTGTTGGGGGTGTGCCGCTAAACTGTTGATCAGAGGAAAGAATAGGTGGCCTTTTGTCAACGTCTGAGGCCATTGTGGAGTCTGTTTACAGCAAACGCCTCATCGGGGCCCGCAGGAGTGTTCATAATCAAAAGATTAAGCCGGCACTCCGGTTTAGGGCTCCGCCACCTGTTGTCTCATCAAGAGACGGCACAAAGTAGAAAAGGTCCTGAGAGAATTCCCAGTGTCAGCCTCTGCTTTAACCGAACCCCCTCTCAGTCCGCCGGGCAGCCCTGCACAATGAGCCACTGTCTAATGGTGCAGACCATCTGAAAAGGGGGACGTGAGGGAGGAAGGAGGGGAGGGAAATTCCTACTTTCTTTTTTTTTTTATCAAAGTATGGACAAAGCCCTCTGAAATATTTGTCTCGTCATATCCCTCCCGGATTCCACAGCTCCGGGGCTGCCAGCTCTCAGGCCGGTTATAAAACTGTGATAAGATCAGCGCTGAGCAAACATTTACCTGAAGTCCAGAGTGATTTGGTTCTCACATAAAAGAGCTGAGAGAAGAAGGAGGTTAAGAGAGAAAAACTATGTCAGGTTATGTTTAAATAGCGAGGAAAGAAAGAAAAATGAAGCTGTTTTTAACCTTTCAGGGTGAATTTGTGCATTAACAGCTGAAACGTAACACACACACACACACACACACACACACACTAGACTCACTCATAAAAAAAGCACTCGACAACACTGATTGCTGTCCTCTTCCGCCACCTAGTGGTCAAAGCAACAAGGTGACCCGGTGCAGTCACTCTACCTCTGCAGTGCTGTCACAGTAAGTTAGGATGACATTCACAGAGCCGGTCTACCCCCCCCCCCCTCTTCCACATCTGTCACATATTGTGCAGAAAAAAGGACGACACAAGCTGGATTAAGAAAGCTACGGTTTTTGCTATGAAGGGAATATTCTGTGCACGAACAAAGACTAAGGATTCTGGGTATAAAGTAAAGTCTCCTGTATTGCAGGTGGGGGTCTGTAGAGAGTTAAGTCTTTGAGACTCTGACAGTCAAGGTGAGTCTCTCATTGCTGCAGCAGCCATCTGCCTCTGTCTAACATGCCTTCACACCACACACATACACACACACACCGGCTGCCTGGCACACAGCACAGGGACCACACAGGCAGCCTTCTAGCGACCTTCACTTAAAGCTGCTGGGCTCCAGAATAGCACTGCACCACTGCTCTGCACAAGGAGAGAGACGGAGACACTCATTCGTCTGGAGACTGACAACAGTCCATTAACAGGGTTCTGACCTCAGAAAGGAGGCAATAAAAACTGCATTAATACTGAATCGAGGTCTAAAACTCTGTAATTTGTAACCGCTTATGAGGTTCTTTTAGAAGATTATTCAAAAGGAAACAGGTTGACGTGAAGCCCAGTTCTCATTTTGTGTCTGTTTATGAGCCCAATCTAATAAATACTGATATGACAGAAGGTGCAGAGAGATATGTATCAATACAGTATACACAGCCATGAGGTTTTGTGTGTCTGCCATATCAACACTATGGAGTGACGATGTTAGGCAGAGACCCTCGATCTTAGCGTTCTTTAAAATTACATATTAATGAATGTTACAGTTACCCTTCCTATAAGGTTTCCGTTACAACATTACTTTTGCTTTCACCTCCCACTGATTTTGAAATCCAACAATCACATTGGAACACTTTGGAAGATGGAAACATTCAGCTGCTGGAAATATTTCACATTACTGTTGATTTTAACATAACAAAACTGGATTTTAATCGCCAGTCTGAATTTTGGGGAGACAGGGTGTTTTAGAAAAGTAATATGAGTAAGTAAGTAAAGTTTAATTTATATACATATAGATATTTACATACACAATCATACACATATACGTAAAAAACACATAAATACTAACATATGGATGAATAAAACAAAAAGTCAATAAAAGTCAATAAACACACAAATGAGATCTATAAAAAGGTTTTGAGGAGCTGCTTAAAACTATAACTAGTAGTGTAACTAATTACTGTTGCCAGGGAGTAATAAATAAAGTAATGATGTTACTTTTGAAAAGAGTACTGAGTAATAAATGGTCCTCTACATGCAGAGGGAATCTATGCAAAGTGTTTGGTCTCTTTATAAAGGCTTGTGACCACTCAGAGCGCTTTACACTACATACCACATTCACCCATTCACCCATACTTATACAGTGATAGCAAGAGGAGGCGGGGATCGAACCATTAACCTTCTGATTAGAGGACCACCCGCTCTACCTCCTGAACCACAGCTGCCTCAATATTGTTGAAAATGTCACAAAATGTAGCTTTAACTGTAAGTAAGAGCCCAATGATGATCAAGGAGAGTCACAGTTAGTGACAAGGAGCTACTTTATTTACAGAAGAAAAAACATGATTAACCCAATCCATGAAAAACAGCCCTCACTAAACTATATGGTGTCTACACACTTTTGGCCATATATTTTATGACAGCGCTGCTGGTTCGGCGATAATGTGAGATATCATAAGACTTATAAGGATAAAATACCTGCCGTAGCAGTTTTTTAGGGGTATATTTTAAACGTACAAATCAACCATGTTCTGCATCCACTGCAATCTGAATTATTAAAAGCTTTCAGTTTTATGGACAGCTGAGATTAAATGGTTCGTGCCAGAAGTGCATAAAGTCAGAGCCTCTGCCAGAAAGCAGTTCAGTGTTCAAACACACCAGAACGTATCACTGCACCGACATACTGACTGTGTATCACAACAAATTGTGATGTCATAATTTGTCCCACCACTAACTAACATTATTTTCTCTTTAATAATACAATGGTTTTTTACTAAAAGTAGTTCTGATGCTGAATTTAAAGCTGCTCTAATTGTTATTTTTCATATTAATAGGCGTTACACTGTATTTCCTCTCAGTATTTTAGCATCTTTCAGCTTATTGTTTTGGTTTTACAACCCACAAATTCACTGTTTTGCTTCAGTCTTATTACTTCAGGCAGCATCTTTTCCATAAAGAAATCCACGGTACACTCCCTGCACAGCTCCAAACAGCAGACGGACGCAGTTAGCAACTAGCTGGTGAACATAGAGGAGCATTTAGCAGCTAAAGACACAGATATTTCCCTCAGGAGTTGGTGGAGAACAAAACAGAGCTAAAAAAAGGAGAGTGAATATTGAACTTACTGACAGGTGAATGGAAGCTAATGTTGCTCTATGTCTGTTATATGTTATAAGTTATATGTTGATAATATGTCAAAGTTGTGTTTGTAGCTTGTTGTTGCCCCAAAAACAATCAATGAATGCAGGTTTTAGTGCTTATAATATTTAATACTACTGGATGCTAACTCACCTTGGCAATGAGAAAGAGATGTTGCTGTACCAGCTGCTCCCCAGCTGTGCACACTCTCGTCCTCTGGGCGGCGTGTCGTCTGAACCGCTGCTCAGCCTCTCGCTGGACGGGGCTCGGGTGGCGTCAGAGTCCCCGGTCACGGTAAAGATAGAATCAGAGAGACTGGGCCTCTCATGGTGCGCCAGCGGGGCGAAGCTAAGCTGGACGATCTGCCTGGCGCTCTGGCAGACCGGAGCGTGGATGGCAGGGGTTAGTGTGGGCAGGTCAAAGGTCAGAACCGTCTGTGTGCTGGAGGTCAGCAGCTCCTCGCTGTCCAGGCTGTTGTACGATGTCCCTTTGGCTCGGTGAGACTCCATAATGCTCTCAAAGTGGCGGCTGAAGGTGTCTTCTGCAGCACAGCGAGGACCGGAGACCAAGATGGGAGATTTCAGGGCTGGGTGGTGGTTGTCAAAAAACGTTTCCATTGGTCTGGACAGAGAGGGAGGTTTTAGAAACACTGCAACAACACAGCTGTGTTTATAAAGACAAGCTTAAACGTGTGTTAACCAAGGACACATCTAGAAAAAGGGACTCAGATTGTGTCTTTATTAAGTCTTTATAGGATGTGCTGTGCTGTTACTAATTCATGCAGAAATGCCACCAAACCTGCTTACTTGAAAAAATAGGTTATGAGTGAGATCCAAATTCAGATCAAAATATAGGTCAGGGGAAAATCCCACTTCACCAGAACGTGTGTGAACTTGTGTGTGTTTGACTGTGTGTGTTTCATGTGCACCTCTTCAGCAAGTGACCAAACACCTCCGGCTCTTCTTGAGCCGCGTACTGCTGCTTCCTGTTGTCTCCTTGCATCCTCACACTGGCCCAGCTCACCATCTCTTCCTCTTCCTCCTCCTCCTCATCTTCCTCTTCCTCGTCCTCCCTTCCCCCTCTTCTCTCCTCTGCCACCTCCTCGTCTGTCCTCCCATAAGGCAGACCCCCCAGAGGGCTGCTGCCCGTCCCTGAGGTTCCCTGCACGCTGCGGTTACTCCCAAACGCAGAGTCGGCGTCGTCCTGCTCAGCCAGCAGCACCTCATCTATGTCCGTCTCACGGTAGCAGCGCAGCGGGACGGCGTCCAGGTCGGTTTCTGAATACTTCAGCGTGCGGCGAATGATGCCCGTTTTGGGTGAAGTCCCGATCACGGCTGGAGGAGGGGTCACCAGTTCTACCTCCACATGCTGCACCTCGTGATTGGCAGAGAGCAGAGGCAGGGAGGAAGGGGGAGTCGGGGTGGGAGACTCACTGGAGTTACCACTGGGAGGAGCTGTGGAGGTTTCCAGAGAATCTGCAGACGGAGAACATCAAACTCAATGAATGATGTAACTGCACAGAAAACATATTTAAATGATTTACTTGCTCTTAATTGGTCCAGAATCATAATCAAAGGCTGGGGATGAATATCAAACCTCAATACTGTTTTGGGACTGACCCAAAAGTGCCTGAAGTACTGAAAGGTGGCAATAAATGTCTGATTAGATCCATCATCTTGTTTACTTTAATCAGATATTTACTGATTTTAAATCTAGGTTTATCAAAATGAAACACATCCCACAACTATTCTCCGATATACCCGGGCCCTACGCATCTTGAATAGTGAGCATACAGGGCCACCAGCTCTGATGTTCTTACATTGATGATCAGAGAAAAACATATCACCTATAGGAAGCAATTTCCCCCTGGATACCATTCTGTATTTATGAACATTTATATTTTTCTAGTTAAATGTTTTATCTAAGTTAATATTGTATTATGTAAAACCTCACATGAAAAGTTGATTTTTTTAATAGCGTGTATTTTTGGTAATCTATATGTCACATGACTAATTATTGGACTATATAAAGGAACCAGAAACAACCTCAGATACCACCCTGAGGAAGGCAAGATAACTGAAAACCTTGGAGGGATTAATCAGAATATACAGTATCACAGATGAGTTTTGTTATGATATTATGAAGACGTTTAAATAGAAGTAATTTTCAGACAAATATTACTCAGACAGGATGATACAGTGTATTTGTTGGGGACTATTTTCAGAGGGGGATTAATACACATTTGCTGCTCTAGTGAGTATTTACAGCAGCAGGATGGATCAATATGACACAGAGAAATAGGATATATCAGGCTTTCAAATGATACAAGGCACCGAATGAGTATGTTGGCCTCAATGACATCCAGTGACACTGACAACTCACAGTGTGACTCTGGCTTCTCTATTTCCTTTAGATCACCCTGAAACATTATCTCGTGAAGCATGAAGGATGAAGGAATACATCCTCCACTCTGGTATGATATGAAAACTGAAGTGCAGTAACAAGATGAAATTGAGGTGGACGTGTTCTCACTTTTCTCCCCCCTGCTAGCAGCCTCCTCAGCCGGGGTCCCGAATAAAAACTCCCACTTGGCACGAGCGATCCTCTGACAATGGAGCGAGGGCACGGGAACTGCAGAGCCGCTGTCCGTCTGAAAGATACACACAGAGACAAACTGGAGAGCTCTGCAGTGCAGCGTTAAAGGAACAGTCAGACATTTACTGACTGCAACAGTTACGCCTCCAAATTACTCAGATTTCAACAAATAAATATGGATTCTAACCATCGTACCCATTTTTTTTTAACCAATTTTGTGTGTTAAACTAAATAAGTTAATTTAACTCAAAGCATAGTTAAACCTGATTACATCGAAAGCCAAAGTCAAACTAGATTTTGTAAGTTAACATTTTTAACATTTAACATTTTTGATCATGTAGCTTTAGTCATTTTAAGTGACACTGAGTTAATTTTTCTTTTTTAACGAAATCAGGAAGTCGGTGCCGCTTAAAATTACTAATAAAAGCTGCTTAATTAAAATTACATTTTTTGTTTGTGTTACTTAAAAGTTTCGATGTAATCCATTTCCAACATTTATTTTGAGTTAAAATAACTTATTGCATTACAGTGAGGACTAACAAAAAACTAATATATCTAGTAGTGTAACTAATTACTGTTGACAGGGAGTAATACGTAAAGTAATATTACTTTTGAAAGTAACTAGCCCAACAGTGCTCATTACTATGTGTGAAGTATGTAACCAGAGCAAGGAGGAGGTTAGCTAGGTTAGAGTTGTTTGTAGTTTTTTAGTATAAGCGATATAAGCAAGCTATTTCCTCCTACTTCCAGGCTTTATGCTAAGCT